GACCACCACATAATATTGCTTTTGATACATAAATGGTTATACCAAACAACTGTAACTAAAAGTCCATAAACTCCGCACTAGACTTCAAAGTTCTAGGCTTTCCAAAATTTTTGAGACGACAACATTTAAGCACGTTCAAATATTGAGGAAGAATATTTACCGTCATCATCTTGATTATCCCTTGGAGAAAGCAGAGTGATTTTGTACTCTGTTGACCCAAAGCTGTTTGTAGCGTGACAAACATACTCTCCATAATCTTCTCCATTCCGTGGCGTGACAATGATACTGTTATTCATCAACTTGATGCCATCACCAGTTGGAACCTGGCCATCTTTCGTCCAAGAGTAGTTAAACGGAATATAACTTGTTGCTTGACAAGTGAGAAAACACGGACTTTGCTTTTCACATATCACTGAGGAAGGGGAAAATTCTTCAATAATTCTGGGTGGCACTGTGTGAAAAAAAGGGAAAACGTAATGATACCAAAACAAGTTCAGACAAAATTATGCTCTTGACAACGGAGCAGAGGTATAACAAATATAAGGGAACACCACTATGATCTATTTTTTTGGTTTGCACACTGAGTGGTGGTTTGTTTAGTTGATATCAGTGTTGTACTATTTTTTCACCCTTCAATTACAAATTTCTAATATTTGTTTAATACCCAGTATACACACTAATTCGCGAATGACTTGTTAATAAGTGGTTGGAGTAAGTTGTCATGGTGATTATCATAGTGCTTAGAAGAACCATGATTGGTCATTTATTTTGGCAGAGGTTGGCAATTTCTCTACCTCACTTACTTCCTCACAGACTTGTTTCACAAAAGAAAATGAAAACGTAATTGTTACCCAATATTCAATGCAAACATAACAAACTTTCTACGTACCAGCGACAATGACAATCGTAGCTGTACGGCTCTTTCCAAACATGTTCATTGCTTTACATTCATAAACGCCACTGTCATCAGGAACAACATCTCTTATAATAAGTATTTTCTTGTTGTTCTCGAACTGAGCGCGAGGTATACTGCTAAGTCCATCTTTAGTCCAGGTAACAGAAGCCTGAGGGTCTCCACTAACCTCACAAGTCAACACTGCCAGTTCGCCAATTGCTGTAATGGTCGTCTTTGGGAGACCTTTGATGATAGGTTTACCTGAGTTTTTATAAACATGGAGTAGTTTTTCCTTAACAAAGAGCAAGGCACAAATACAGCATTAAGGCTTTGCAGCCTATCCCTTCCCAACTGAAAATAATTTAAAAGCCCCTCAGTTGATAAGTAACTTACAAACTCTGAAAGACAACCAACAGAGCATGAAAGTCTTATATCAATAAAAAGAAACTCAAAGATCAGACTACATTGAGTTAAATTTCCTTGCTGAATGTTAGATGCCTCTGACAAAGGGAAAGTATAAAAAAAGACAAAACAACAATACCTTTGGTGTCGATGTCTATAAAGTTACTAGAGACATAAACCGTCTGCAAAATACAACCGCAAAAAACTAATTATTCATGTGCAACCTTTTGCTGCATTTGGGTATGGCATAGTGACTCAGACCTCAAGAGCATTGCAAGCCCGCTAAAAGCTGCTGTTTTAGCACTGCATTCACCAAGACCAAAGAACTTGTGAGCAATGGCAATATGATAGTTCAGGAAGGAAAAGTTCCTGAGACATCTGGGTGCAGATTCAGAGTAACTGGATGGGTCAGTTTTGTCGCTCAGTTCTTACAATCAATGAATAGAACATCCCTCACTAATATTAAAAGTTTTGTTAAAATAAAGGGGTTCGTTTCTAAAGAAACTGTGGTGCTGCGTTGGTGGGAGAGTATAGCAGGTAATTTAGTGTTAACAACTGGGTTGAAAACGTAAATTAGCCACCGTAAAGGATAAAAAAGCTGACGTTTCGAGCGTTAGCCCTTCGTCAGAGCGATTTTAGCCACTTTACGGTGGCTAATTTACGTTTTCAACCCAGTTGTTAACACTAAATTACCTGCTTTTTGTTAAAATACCTCGGAGTCAAAAGCTCTGAGGAACATTTTGTAGTTTGTATTCGGCTGCAGTGGTTTGTTGTAATAAAACTGATCACCACTACTTCTTTTACTCCTTTCTTTACCGCTGGATTCCGCTCCATCTCCAACAACAAATTCCCGATACTTATCAAAATCATTTCCTCCAAACTGAAAAGCGACATAAGCAGCAGGAATGGCAGATTTGTGCGCTTCTTCGTACGTCATCATGTCTTGTGTTGTAAATCTTTCTGATGGGTTAACAGCACCAGTATAGTTTGAGCTATATGTAATGATAATAACTTGGAAAAACCTGCAAGATACGTGACAGGATATTTGTGATGTCAGCAGTGTCCTATGCTGTCGATTGTTACTTATATTTTCTGCCACACCTACACATGGCAATGCACAGTATGTCTCGTGATGATTACATTAAAAAAGAAAATGAACACTGTACTACATTACGAACATTGTGATCCAGGAATACAGCCAAAACTAGCGTTAAATTGATTAGTTAATCATACCTTACATTTCCAGGGAAACGTGGAAGCGTGACTTTAACTGAAATTCCTCCTTCATCTGAATTTGCAGAAAAAGAAGGCGAAGATGGCGTTTCTTTAGACCAAACCACAGCTGAGGAAAAGGGAAAGAAGCCCTGTTAAGTTAGCCTTTGAAAAACATTTTGTTCTTTGTGTGCGTATAAATGTATATATGTAGATTACTCTCACTTCCGCAATTGGCAGCCTTCTTGTCACAATCGTAAGGGTGGTGGCAGCAACAGCAGCAGCATCAGTTGTTCTTACTCTGGAGGAAACTGATGAGGTTACATGTACGTTTTTCGTGAAAAAGGCTGTGGTTATTCATCGTGGTGAATAACAGTAAAAGCTAAGTTTCCCGTTTTTCTCACGATGTAGTCACGTGTGATGTAGATCGCGACGTTTCGACTTCATACTGCTAGTCTTCTTCAGGCCATGAGGTCGCCTGAAGAAGACTGGCAGTATACGATCGAAACTTCGCGATCCACATCACACGTGACTACATCGCGAAAAAAACCGAAAACTTAGCTTTTATGCATGTTTATATCACACACTCAAATAGCTCTTTAATTACCTGCCTTTACTCGAACCTACATCATTTTTCTGTGTTTCCCACACTTTCTCACAAGGTTTTACCACCTTTCAGTTCTACTCCCTCCCTAAAAATTGCCTCATTACAGCTGCCCACAGACTTCCTTACCCAATGTCTGTACCATTACAGGGTTGCTGTAGGGTCCAGGCCCCACGGTAGTGTAGCCTCTGACAGACACCTCATACTTGGCACACAAAGAGAGTCCAGTCACGATAACATAAGTGCTGGTCGTATTAAAGGTTGAATCGTAAGAAGACTTGATCTCTGTGCAGTTTTCTACTACACTGAGCCTAACTTCGTAGTTTATGATCATGCCATTGGCTACTTCTCTAGACAGTCCAAGCCAAGTTATATTGAATTTTGCGGAGCTCACTGCAGAGGAAGATATCTCTTCTGGTCCACGACTGGGCTCTTTTTGATAAAAAAAGAAAAAAATTAATAATGTAAAACTACTCTCGGGTGAAAAGCTAAACTAACGCGAAACAGAATCCCAAAATACATGTTTGGTATATCGCAATGATTCGATTGAGCGTCCTCATTCTTATAAGCGCCCCAAATTTAATAACCGCACACCTCCAATTTACTTTTGTTTATAGGCGCCTTATTCTAAGTAAGCACCTCATTCCATCAAGCGTTGAAACAGGGGCGCTGACTTAAGAAATGCAAATTGTGTATTTGTAGTTCTGTAAGCATGCTACAGCACTCCAAGTTGGGACTGTTTTGGTCGCCATGGCAAGTTAAAAATATATTCGGCGACTAAACTTTCGACAAAAATCGCCAATTGACGACCAACAAACCAACAAAAAAAAGGGGGGAAAGAAAAACTTTCCGTTACTCCCAAATATGCATAAACCTGGAATGCATAGAACCAAGTCGAACTCATTTCGCTGTGACAAACTTAATTTCATGTTTTAATATTACATGCAGCAAACCTTCAACTTTGTATTAAGAAGTATGGCGACTCATATCAAGTGATTCAAGATGTTACTTACAATATGGATGGAAGGTTCTAATAAAATATTTCATTTCACTCTAAATAAGAGACATTTCTCAACTAAGTAATAAGTAGAATGAAATCTTATTTTAAAAACACGATTAATATTTTGTTACTCGGTCTCAGAAACTTTTCGGTAAATCGTTCTGCTCCCAGACATCAGAGTCTCTTCATTCTCTCTTTTTTGGCCGTTATTACAATCTTCTAATCTGCACGGGATCAAACGTACCAAGTAGAGTTGGCGAATGAAAGTGTTACGATCGCATCATTTGGCTCACTACCTACCTCACGTACAGTAGTGGAACACTAAAATTTTTTTAAGCGGGGGAAGGGGGGAAAAGGTGATCAAATTTTTGTATGGCGACTATTTTAAAGTTAAAGGTCGCCAAAAGGCGACTTTTTGAAAAATTGAACTTGGATCCCTGTGACAAGAAAAGCTGGAACCTTCCGGTAAGAGAAAAATGCAACATGGCATTTTTTAACAACGTATGCTACATGTAGGTAGGACAATGAGAAATCTGATTGCCACAAGATGGACACATTTCAAGTTCACTGTGACATTACATGTATTTTCCCTACTTATCACTTTTAACAGTGACAACACCCCAATTAAATGGCCCTCTCACCAGAGCCTTCTTGAAATTGGACATTTAATGCATGCACAGGAACAGGTGTATTTCTAAAATTACATGTTGGGAATCTAAATTGTGTTAAGATCTATCACATCAAAGATAAGGCAAACAAACACATTGAACAAGTTTTCCAAAGACTGTTTGATCTCTTCTTTATGGTTGAATACCATTCTATTGAGACATTTATGGCATCCATAAACTTCTGAATTTTATAAAAATAGATAGATTACTATTTCTTACCAGCCTCCTTTGTTTTCTCATAAACAACTGTACTTTTTGGTCCATCCCCAACAGAAGTGGATGCCAATATTTGAAATTCATATTCTGTGTACTTATCAAGCCCAGTGACCTCTTGAGAGTGAGTAGCCTGACCGTTAATGGGCTGCATGCTTGCTGGCCCTAACGAGCCTTTCTTTTTGTAGAACAATTTATATCCTGTGATGATTCCGTTTCTGGAGTCTTCTGGTGGTAACTGCCAGGATGCTATTATACTTGTAGAAGTGCTTGCAGCCAGAATAAAGCTACTAGGCGGCATTGAAGGAACTGCAATTAAGAAGTTTCACATGATTATATAAGAAATGGAAATAATCATAGCGATAAAAAGAGTCATTATGATTGTCATCTTATTATTTTTAATCAGATAATAACTTAAGAGCAGCAACCAGTACACAAAGGTTATCACTCTTATAATCTCTCCGTCTTTACTACGAACTGTTACATAAACTCCTTGAGATTTTTGTTCTGGGCTTCGAGTTCGTATGTTTCAATAATTCTGTCATAGCCATTTTGGGAAGCCAAGTCTTCCAGACTCCTAGCCATCTGTTTGTGCTTGTTGGGTTTTTCATTTTCGAGCGCTCTCCTTCAAACTTTAAATTAAAACGTTGTTACTTTCTGCCAACCGGCCGCCATGAGCCAAAATCCTGTAAATCAATTTAATTTCAACTTTTTTCTCTTAATTTCAACTCTCTGCACTGTTCGAGATAAATTGACGTGTTCTCAACCAATTAGGATGCTGAAATTGTTGCATGCATATTATTAGGCATGTGATATATGTTGAAAATATGCCATATTCGCAAGTGGTCTTAAGATAAACATAAAGAATCTAATTCTATGTTTGCTTCTATTTGTAGGATGCCTCTTCCAGTGAGGAACACAAATTTGACTCAGAATATCAGTGCCGTAGCTGTATTGGTATTTGTTTGTTTTTGCCACTCAGGGACAAATGAAAGGGAAAAAAAAGGCAGACTCAAATCCAAAAATTATTATAAATTTGCAACGCAAAGGGTACACCATTGAGGTCTAAATCAAGAAAGAAGGCAACCAATAACAACAGCCAACATTATTGCTAATATGTTATTGCGTGCTTATAATTTCATGAGTAAATAGACATGATTTAAGGGCCAATCAGAATGCTTACATTATGTTCGTTATCTTCTAATAATTACTTTACCACTCATGAGTCACTGATATAACGGTGTGTTAAATCATGGTTATTAAAATCGCATATTGCATAATTAAATATTTTCATTTTTCACATCACATCAGAAAACTGTATACGAAGGGTAACTGTATCTGACCTTTTATTAAAAAGTCATGACATTTTTAGAATATAAAACAAAAAGTTGCTCTAACCATCTTCTTTTGTTCTCTTAACAACAACAGAGCTGTTTACACCATCACCAGCAGAAGTAAAGGCCAACACTTGAAATTCATACTCTGTGTACTTATAAAGCCCATTGATATTTTTGTTTAAAGTTGATTCACTGTTGATAAGAAGAATGGCGCCTGAGCCTGACGAGTCTTTCCTTTTGTAAAACAATTTGAATCCTTTAACTATTCCATTCCTGGAGTTTGCTGGTGGTAGTTGCCATGATGCTGTTACACCAGTAGAGACAGTTGGAGTGACATTGAAATTAGATGGAGGTTGTGAAGGAGCTGCAATTGAGCAGTAGTGTTTTTAATTAGTTTTATCAGCTGTAAAAGTTTTGAAAACTTCTTCACATCTTAACTTGGTACATGAATACAAGTTTTGTTGTGTTTTAGTAATTAAAGAAATCAATTGGTTCTAAACTATTCAATTGGTTAGCCTCCTCATCATGAGATTGGTATCCAATAAACCCCCAATGAGGATGTAAATTCAATACATATGGTTCACAGTTTTCCTCATTAGCACATACCATCTTCCATTGTTCTTTTCACTTTTGTAGAACTTTTTGCTCCATTGCCATCAGAAGTGAAGGCCAAAACTTGAAATATATATTCTGTGTACTTATCAAGCCCACGAACAGTTCTACTAAATGTTGCTCCATCGCTAATAGACAAGGTTGTTGCTGACCCACCAGAACCTTTCCTTTTGTAAAACAATCTAAACCCTATAATGTTTCCATGTCTAGCAGAGACTGGTGGTAACTGCCAGTAAGCTATGATGCTGGTAGAAGAGTTTGCAGTCAACTGGAAGGCAGTGGGAGGTTGTGATGGAACTGTATTAACAACAAGAGATTTATGTTTGAATCGATAGATGATAATCAATGAGAAGTTTAAAGAGGAACATATCATTATCAGCCATGGTAAACCTAATGGGCAGTCTACATTGATTAAGAGTAGTATGGAGGATCATCAGAGGTGGTGACTTTGTTTTTCCATTAACCCTATTTTCTCCATGATGTTCCTTATGATTTAGGCATTACAACTTTATTAATAGGCATTTCACAGCCATCTCCGACATTTACTTTTGATATTCGTCAATAACAACGCCCTCGTAAATGTAAATTGCCCGATCCTGCCTTAATTTCCCCAATATTTGCTTATTGTGACTTCATTTTGTATCAGAGGTACAAAACGAGAACAAATAAATACCTTTAGTCAAAAGTATGCCATAAGCCTCCACTCTCAAAACCTTGAACTTATTATACTTTGTTGGCAGAAAGCGTATAAACTTTGCACTTGCAAACTCCTTCAGACTGTTTTTCACTGTGTCAGTTTTTCCTAAATTTCCTGGAAAGGACTGTTATACAAAAAGTGATATTGATGTATTGAAACTTAGCATAGTTAATGGTTTACTGTAATTTGGGAAATGAGATCAAATTTAAATCTGCAATTTGCCAACTGAAAATCTGTAATTTGTAAAATGAAAATCTGTAACTTGGAAAAATAACACATCATGAGAATCTGTAATATGCAGAATGGAAATCTGCTATCTGTATAAGTTAAGCACACATCATCTTCATACATCCTAGGTTCAGAACTAAAGAGCTTGAGATAATTCAGCAAGTCATTTGAAGAGGACCAGGAATTGTGCCTTGAGGAATGCCACAGGTTAGAAAATGACTTTCAGGGAGATCAGGACCATTTCATTCTCCATATTTAAATTTTGTGGTAATTGTTTTAGAAAGTACGATTGAACAGTTTGAATATATCAGTTTTTTTTTACATCTTTTACACTCATACTCCTATGAAAACATATATTTAACTCATAGTCTACATGCTTTTGGGTGTGTGTACTCTATACTGATCCTTACATGGACATGTAATTGATTAGAAAATGTAACTAATTATTGTTGAATGTAATGTCACGTCATTTTGTTTTGTAAGCAACATAAGTATCTTGTGGGCAATGTTAGCATGGTGAAAATTATTATGACATATAAAAGCAAATTTGTTGTTCTTGTGAGTAGCTTTAGTTTTACACCACAAGTATTGATTTTGGCTGCTATGAATACTTGTATACAAGAGCATGACATACCGACCTTGTCAGTTTTATTTTCTTTATAGGGGAAAAAAGTGGTACCATCGAAAGAAAATCGTAGTTTGTACTCTTTGGTCCACTCTTGGGCTGGCGATTGGTTTGGTGGATTTCCTTGAGTAGCTACAGCACAGATAACATAGTCATAGAGAAGGTCAATTTGTAGGTAGTCATCACGATCGTTAGTCTTAGCTTCCCATGCCCCTGTTCCATTAAGACGACCATATTTAGCTGCATATCTGGGAGCAAATATTGAACTGGCCGAAAAGCTGTCATCTGGAATTCTACCACCGCTGGCCAACCCAATTGCCTGGGAATCACATGCTGCAAGGTAACAATTAGATGATTACCTTCATATCTATGCGTATTTCATGTATGTTTTTCAATACATTTGATTGTAGACACTCCTAAACCATGTGTAGGATATCATTACCGAATGTACAGAAAAAGAGTTATAGAAGAATACGAGAAAATGAAGCCTTTGCAAAACAACCCAATGAATGCTGCAATCTGTCAGGAAATATACTGTTAATGCGATCAAAAAGCTGTGTCGGACTTGAAGACTGTGTGGATGCTGTTATAGGCAACGGCAAAGAGGCTCTGATACACCTTTTACATAGGGTAAAACCACTGCGAATTTGAACTACGTTACAGGCTCTCTGCTTGGGGAAGATTTTGGGAAACCAGTACTCATCGGAACTATGGGGAGCAAGATCCGCCAATCATATTAGAACGCCATAGTACAAGTGGCAAAGCATGAGCAGTCAACTCCTTTTCCTGGTGTAGACTAGCAGTAAGCAGTTCAATTGTCACCATCTACATCTCAAGTGACTACATAATGAGACAAACGATTCTATGGTTTCTTATTGATTGAAATGATAAATTAATTAGCTGACTCCTACAGTATTTGAAGATCAAATATCATCTCAACTTAATTAGTATTTATCCCAATAATTTGAGTTTCACATAAAAAAAATTACAATCGATCCTATGTACATTTTAAAAGAACACAGCCTTACAAGTTATAATGAGAGGCTTGGTGTTTTTGATGACTGTATAAACAGTATCATTAGGCTATAATTTATATACAATGTAGTTTGTATCATTTTAGCCACTAACTGTATCGGGAAAGCTTAGTGTATCGCATTAAAAGAATATCACTACAGATGCGTCAGGTTTAAAATCCTTCTTCAAAGATTAAGAAAGTATCTTAGAATGTCCATTAAAGTGGCAGATCATAGCAATCATGAAACATTAAATTTCAAACTCACTTGGCTTTTGTTTCACCCCAAACACCTCTGTTCTCATACACACCCCACCCTGGTGAGTTTGTGGCCGGAATCGCAGATATCTAGTCAACACTCCATAAACAACATGCTTTACTTCTGAGTTTTTGTCATCATTTCCCATGAGAACCTTAAAAGGAAAAAAAATAGTCACAATAAAATAGGTGCTACATTGATATCCACACTGCTTATAGCATTTGAGTTTCTACCTTCATTGCCTTCTCAACCCAAGAGTTACACCCTAACATCCGCAGATACATTCCTCAAACTGTTCTCTGTAAATTTCCTAGGGTGCTACATGACTTAGAGCTTGTGAGTATTTCCTTTATTGTTTCCAGAAATAAGACGCTAGAGCTCTGAAGGGCCAAGAGTTAAACTTTGAAAAATGTGTGATAAGGATGAAAATGAAGATGGGGCAGGAAACATCTTTGAGCTCTTTAGACATGGTCACCACAAAAAATGAAGCGCCCTCATTCATTTTGAACAGCAATCTGTTCTTCCCATTGTCAACAAGTAGATGATTGAGGGCTACCAATATTAATTTTCATTCACAAATAGTGGCATACAATTTGCCATGTGTGAAAAAGAAGTGTTAACCAGCAGTGCAAATAAATTCTTAATGCGCATCGGCAGCCATCTCACAGCTCTGAAAAATCATTTGCTGAAGGCTCTGCTGAAGACACTGTATTTGCTAAGCCTACAGAGGATACTATGCATTTTCAATTTAAGTGCAATTATTCTTTTAAATAATATCAGTGAATTCATTTTCTTCTCTTAAATTTGCTTTTTAAACAAGAAGAAATCCAGTCATGACATATTAATAATTTGAGGTTCTTCACACATTTATATCAATTATTTTTTAGGGCAACGTATGATCTTATCTTAACCGACATATTTTGGGGATTTGATATGGATGTAAAAGTCAATGCGTGTTAAATCTTAGTTATTTTAGAAATAATGCTTCAATACAGAATGTATTTTATACCTTAACTTGTCCACCTAATTCCGTATAGTTTTTCCAAGTTATCCCATTTGTGGATAATTGTAGAGTGTAGGTCTTCACCCACTGATCTTCTTTAGAATTTCCTTGAGTAGACACAGCGCAGATGATATGAAGTGTTTGTAGATCAATCTGTAGATATGGGTTAGTGTCACTTGTTCCTGCACACCACGATGATCCTGATGCGTAGTTCAGTCGACCATTCTTAGCCGGTGTGCGGCAAGACGAAGCATTTATTCCAGTGTCTAGAATTCTTCCATCTTCCATCCCAAGACTAAATTCAACACATCCTAAAAATTGAAAAACTATTTGATTACAAATGACAGGGAAAAATAATCAGTAATGAACATTACAAAGGTTTAAGAAGGTAGAGCTCTTAACATATGCTTTTAATAATTCTTTCTCTGCAAATCTTTTAAAATTGAGGTAAATGATCATTTAAAAGAGTGGATGGCCACAATTTCCCTGAATCGTTTAGTCAACAGTCTTACTTACAAAAACTACATCATAAGTTTAGTAGCAAACATTTTGTTAGCAGTCCTAGGTTCCTCTGTAATGCATGGTTTTAAGTTTTCTTTGGCCTTACTAATTCAGTGGTTTTCGACATTCAATTTTGTTGTATTTATCCTCTTTTGTTCCTCAGACCTTTGGTGCTAGTTGTCGTGAGGTATTATGAACTACCTAATTTAGTGTTCATGAATGCATTTGTAGTGTCGTAGCAGTTATCTCTAAATGTTCCCAAAAAAGTCTTCAAGTGTAATAATGTACTTGTCTGAAAGAGTTTATCAGCACTGCCTTGCAGTTTTCCTAAAACTTTCGTAAGCAGTCACCAAATTTTTGTCTTCAAACAAGGGTGCCTTGGTATCATGAAGAGTTCAGAGCCATACGTTGCCCCACGTGACCTACACGTAGTCTTTTGGTCAGCTGAGCTAAGAAAGACCCTGGCCTAGAATGGGGGCTCATGGCCGTTTTCTAGGGATTTCACTACTATGGAGGCCATATTTCACCTGAGGCCTGCCCGAACACAGCGGTAGCCCTCAAATATCCCTAGCACTTGTCTTTGCCAAACACCTATAACAATACTACAACACACTGAATATTACAAACCACAAAAGTAAATGTACTTATATGAAGCTGGAAAAGTTCAAATCATACAATAAAACATTAAAGTTCTGTTAGAATATGCTTTCTCATTTAACGATCACCTCATAAGTTTTTTTTGCTGTTGCTACACCATGCAGACTCAGTTAAAAAATTATTGAACATCGTTTTAAAATTCTTACCATCTTTCAGGGTTATCACCACCACTAAAGGAGAACTCCTTGGTCCATCACCAACCGAAGTAAAGGCCAACACTTCAAATTCATATTCTGTGTAAATATCAAGCCCAGTAACATCTTTACCTAATGCTGTTCCATTGTTAATGGTCACGGTGGTTGCTCGTCCAGCAGAGCCTCTCTTTTTATAAAACAATTTGAATCCTATAATTATTCCATTCCTGGAGTCAGGTGGTGGTAACTGCCAGGATGCTGTAATAATTGTAGAAGTAACTATAGTCACTCTGAAGCTTCTTGGGGCTTTTGATGGAGCTGCAAATGGAAAAATGTAGAACTTAATGCCTATAACTGATCCTGTTAAATGTTACTACCAAACAATGGACCCTCTAGCGATTGTCAGCCTCCCAAGGTGAGTTGGTAGTAACACCCATCTAGTATCTGAGAGGTATGGGTTCAAATCCCATCGAAGCCTGAATATGTCTGCAATTGCTTACAATTGCAGCTCACATGGAAGGATCATTTCACTCCTTGCAGGCCTACTAAAATTTATTTCATCAAAAATTGTGATAATCTTTTGTC